AAGATGTATAGCAATAGCAGAAGTTATTGTAAAGCATAAAAATTCAGTATATACTGGTTACTGTATAAGTAAAATTTTTAGCAACCGCGAACCAATAAAAATCGAAAGATTATTCTAGAATTAATCTAGAATATAATCTGTTAGATCTACCACTGATCTACCACCCTAAGGTTGTGTTATATAACTACTAACGCCAATGTGCTAAATAGCTATTATGTGATCACGCTGGTCACGTGATTGTTATAATTCTGGGCAACCTCTGTATTTCGTTATTGTATATTTCGCAATATTGCGAAAGTTTTTACGTAATATTACGGTTTTCTTATGCTTCGTAAATTATTGCACAATATTATGCTCTATTAAATTTGCTGATGTACCTATTATTGCCTTGATAAAGCTTTTCTCTACTGAAGAAATAAAAATCAAAGCAGACCTCTGTTACATATAATTGAGGAGACTGAATTTGAGAGAGAGCTATATGAACTCCACTCGAATATCATAGGTGGACATTTCGGGGTAAAATCAATCTATAATAAGGCTAAAAATAAATATTTTTAGCCATAAATATACAAAATAATTGCTAATTATATACAGATCTGTGACATGTGCCAATAGCAAGGAGCCCCACAATGGTATAAAGAGTTATATTCTATTAAAGTAGAAGCTCTATTCAGCAGAGTAGGTATTGATATAGTAGGCCTTTTAAAGATATTACAAAAGAAGGAAACTGTTATATTGTTGTAGCTATGAAATATTTAACGAAGTAGCTCGCAATTGCAAAACTTTCTATTTAGATTATGAATGATATATATTGTTCAAGAGAGTTCAACTCTTACTTTACAGGAACTAGCTATTTTTTTTTAATATAGTTAAGATCATCTTAACGATATTAATACAATTATTAAAATTATACCTTATAATAATTTTAGAATAATTTTATAACAATTTTATAATAATTTTACTATATAATTATTTTAAAATAAGAGGTGTGGCGACTTAGTGAAGTGGTCTAGTTGTCACTCTCACCAAATATTATGGGAAGATCCCATGTTCAAATCCC